TTTTTCCTTTTTTTTTTTTTTTCCCCCAATTCCCCCCCCCCCCCAACAAAAATATAAAATAGCTGCACACACCGAAACTTCCCTCCGGCAGCCCCTTACCTCGGGCACCGGGCAGGGCAGGGCAGTCGGTCCGACCGGCCCCGGGGCTATAAACCCCGGGGGCGGCTTTTGTGAGTTTGCCGGAGTTTCCCCGGGCTGTCCCCTTTTGTGTCCCATTGCCATCTAGAGGCCCCGATTAATTAATTTCACACCGAAGCTCGGGAGAAAATTTTCCCACAAAACAAGTGACCGAGGAGATGTGAAACCCCAAAGAAAAGGAGTCAACATCAAGTTCAACAGCATGCGGGGAAAAGGCCTATTTCCATCACAATCGCGTCTGAGCGGGGGCCGGGCGGGGGGCGGCGGGCGGCGGCCCCCGCGCCCCCTCCGCGCGTTCCCAGGCTCGGAACAATCGCGCTCTGTTTGCCTCGCACATGCCGGCGTTTGGGCACGGAGGCTGCCTTGGGATAACAGGAATAATGAGGGGAGGGGGGCACGGGGGGAAGAGGGGGGCGCTGGGGGAGCGCTGGAGGGGTGGGAAAGGGCCGGGGAGGGGGGATTGGGTGGGATGCGGGGATCGCGCACCTGGGCACTGCCCGGCACCGACCTGTTGATCCCCGGCCGGGAAGCACCCGCTGGAGTTCACTGGAAGAGCCGGGATGACCGGGAGGGACAAGCCGGGATGGACGGGGCGGGGGCGAGGGGGGGTCCCCCAAAGCCGGGAGGGGACGGAACAGACCCGCGGGGTGGGGTGGGGACACTTTTGCCTAAGTTTGGTGCACCCCCTCCCCGGCCCGCTTCCCGCCCCGCCATCCCCGGCCACGCGTTTTCCCACAGCCCCGGGGGAGCGGGGGGTGCGTGTCCCCGGGGGAGCGGGGGGTGCGGGCCCCGGGGGAGCGGGGGGCCGGGGCCCGGGGTGGCCGAGGCGGTGGTGGACGTGTCCTGCAACCCAAGCAGCTCGGCTCCGCCGGGCATTGTCCCCACGGAGCCCGTGGCCATTGTTCCCGGCGCTGCGGGAGCTGGAGGGAGGGCAGCTTTCCACGCCTCGTCCCCGTTCCCCCCCACCATCTCACCCCCACTCCGACACTCACACCGGGGCTGCCGGGACCCTAATCCGGGATGGGGGGGAGTGGGGGGTGGGCAAATAACATCCCACCCACCCCCCCTAAAAAACAAGGCGAGGGAGGGGGAGGCGCGGGGTCCCCCCTCGCAGACTTCCTCCAAGTTGGGAGAAGCGGGAGGGGGGAGCGGGGCGGTCGGCGGTGATGCCCGCACAGCCCTGCCCCTCCTGCGGGCAGCACCGGCGGCCGCCCCGGCCCGGCGAGTTCAGTGCGGGGCAGGGACGGGGGGGGGGGAAAAAACAGCGACAAAAAAAAAAAAAGGGGAGTTGGGGGGGGATTATTTACCTCCCTCCGCACATCTGCATCCATTAATGACTTAGCGACAGCGGGAGCCGAGAGCCGCCGGGACACCGGCAGCCTCCGGGGCGGGGGCTGGGGGAACCGGCCCCGGCTGCGGGCAGGACGCGGAGCCCGGGGCCATCTCCAGGCGGTGCGGGAGCCGGGCTGCGGCTCCCGGAGAGGACCGGCCGGGAGCGGCAAGGGCTGTGGGAAGCGGAGCCCCCCGCGATCACGTTGCCTTTACGTGGGGTTAAACAGAGAACGTCTGCCCGGGGCTTTAACGCCAGGA